AAGTATCATGATAGAAAATGCTACCCACATCCAAAGAAAGAACCATGGAGTTTGAATGCAGATCGAAGCATACTGCTATTTTTTTCCTTCTGTTTTGTTTTTTCTCTTTCTTGTGTTTCCTCCTATTGGTTCTAATTCTTCCTTACAATATCTCTAATGTGAAAATAGGTTTAATAGGAATGTATATGTATAGCCTATATGAGATTGCATGCCGTGGTGGGGAAGGCGGTGGGGAGGGTGGGGGATAAAAATTTTAAATTCAAAATTTTGTGGAAGTGATTAATAAATCAAAATAAATAAAAAAATTTTTTAAAAAGAATTGCTCACTGAAAGGATTTTCAAAGATAATTTTAAGTCAAACATATCTTTTCAAAAATGATGTGGTAAGTAAGCATAAATAAGAACTTTATAATAAAATATGGATTATCAGAAGATAAAAAAACTCACACTGGAATTGACAATTTTGAAAGCACTAAGGATTAATTTTCAAGATATGTCAGAGGGGAAGACACCAAAAGGGGGGGGGGGCTTGCGGAGAAAATCTCATACTGTATTGGCAGCAACTACAAGGAAAAAGCAACCAAGAAGTCATAAAACTGACCCTATATATGCCTCTTGTATCATCTAAGTTCTATGTAAGAAAGAGCTATGTATGAGGCATTGTACAATAGAACAAGTATTGGATTTGGATACAAGAGATCTGGATACAAGAATCCCAGCTCTACCACTTATTTCATTTGGCAAGTCTGGGCTTGTTTCTTAACCTATAAAATGGTGAATGGACTAGACAACTCTTAAGGTTCCAGCTCTAAAAATCTATGGATCTGTATTTTGAAGATATACTTAATGAAAACATGCAGCAGTCATAAACTAATTTTCACAGATTTGCTACAGTAGACCAAGCCTTCAGTCACAAATGGACAGGATGGAGGAAATACAAGATCTTGCTGTTTCTTTTATAATTATACAAAAACACTGGATACAGTAGGGCAAAAATGTAGATAAGACTTAGACTCTCATTCAACAAAGAGTATGCAGGGTATATATTAACATCATACAAGCTACCTTGATGGAAACACTGACAGGTATAATTTTGTTTAATCTTCTGTAATCAATTGCTATTGAGCAAGGCACAACACAGGGGAAATACAATACAGGGAAATGCAGAAAAAACACCAAAGGTGTTTGGTGACACAGAACCTAAAGTAGATAGTCAGTCTTTCCAGATCCTGCTGTTGGTAGATAGAATTGTACTAATTGCATCCAGTTACAGAACATCCCAGGGCTTCCAAAGATTCCTACAATCATATCTGCCCTGTAATATTGCTCTTCTAACTCTACCTCACATGATGGCATACAATAGCACTGAGATCCAATCCTGCTAAAGAGATTAGCTTCACAATCCACACAGATGAAGAATACATATTACTTAGGCTATGATATGTAGTTAGGTCACATGTATGTAGTCATATATTTGGACAAATATGCAGATAAATAGAGTTGGACCCATAATTAAACTGGGGATGTGGGGGATAGAGGTGGGGTACATGGAAGGGGGCTGCCCAAGACTCAAAGCCATTTTTGTCTGTTTCATGGATTACCATGGCCAAAATCATGGCAGCAATGATTATCTGTGGTGCTGACAGAATCTATAGCTAAATCTGTATTGAAGGCTTTTCCAGATTAGTAGAAGCTACCATGGCTCCAATAGCCAAGCCTTTAAAAACCCAGGGTCACCTTTAGACCAGGATAAAAAGAGCACTTTGTGGACAAATAGCTAAAAGTCAGCAATTCTCTGATAGCAGCTATTATGTGATTAAATGTGACACTATGCAAGGCAGAATTAAAATTCAAAGTAACAAGTTACCTGAAAGTAATAAATTAAGGCACCTCCTGGGAAGACCTACCACTACTGCTGGTGGCCAGACCTGGGAGATCTTGTGTTTGTGGAAGAGATTAACCTGCATGTCTTTCTCTTTCTAGAGATTTCTCCAAGTCACAATATGAAGAGTACTAACTAAGGAAGTCATAGATTTTAAAAGCTAAAAGGGACCTTGGAAGTTATGGAGACCAACCTCCTCATTTTACAGATGAGTACACATATCCAAGGAGGTTGTGTCTTTCCCAGGGTCAAATAGCTGATGCAGGATTTGAACTCAAGTCTTCCTGACTCCAAGTCCAGCACTCTATCCACTATACTACCTGGATGCCTGCCTGACAATTTGAAACCTAAGACGTAAATGCCATCCTATCTAATGATCATTAGTCCATCTAGTAGCAGTCAGTAGTTTTGTTTAGCTCACTTAATGTCAGATTTTAGAATTATGTCTAACCTGGTCCTCTTCTCACTTGTCAGAAACATAAAGCCATAAAATAGTAACTACATGAAAATTGTTTCATTAACATATTAGGCAATCTCTGTAGCTGTCACATTGTTAGCACACAAAAGCCATATGACTAGATTATTGTTCTAAGCATAGATAGGACTCCATCGATTATCCTTAACAAACCTATGAGGCAGATAGTTTATTATTGCCATTTTAAAGATAAGTTCATTGAAGCTAAGAAGTAACTTGCCCAGGATGGCACAATTATATCATATTCAGCCAAAATTCAACATGTATTTTAAAAAGCATACATAAATTGCTTCATTGTTAAGACATCTTGTTAAGACATCTTTACTGATAATACCCAGTTTCAGGGTATAAATGGATCATTAAAATTAATGTTTCCATTTTAGACGTCAGGCTGATCATACAATTTCAAAATTAGAAGGTATCTCAGAGGTCATCTAATTAAAACCTATGCCTGAAAAATGAGTCCTCTCTACAACTTACCTAACAAGTAGCTATCCACCGCCCTGCATAAAACCTCAAAGTGAGGAGGTAACCTACTAGTATATAGTACCTCCTATGGCAGCTCATTCCACTTTGAAATAGCTTTGTTAGAAAGTTTTGCCTTCTACTAAGCTTAAATGAGGGGCAGCTAGGTGGCGCAGTGGATAGAGCACCAGCCCTGAAGTCTGGAGGACCCGAGTTCAAATCCCTCCTCAGACCAAACACTTGACACTAGCTGTGTGACCCTGGACAAGTCACTTAACCCCAATTGCCTAAAAAACAATTAAAAAATAAAAAAACAAGAGTATTTTGGTGCAGTGGATAGAGCTCTAGGTGGTACAGTGGATAGAGCTCTGGCCTTGAAGTCAGAAGGACATGAGTTCAAATCCAGTCTCAGACGCATGACACTTACTAGCTGCGTGACTCTGGGCAAGTCACTTAACCCCGAATGCCTCACCAAAAAAAAAAAAAAAAAACAGCTTAAATGGATCTCTTCACAACAACTACCTACTCCTAGTTCTATCTTCTGAATCCAAGCAAAACAAGTCAGATCCCTCTTCTATATGACAGCTTTTCAAATTCAAGGCAATACACTATCCACTCTCCCTCTCCCCTAATCTTTTCTTATTTAAGCTAAAGTTCTTGACTAACTCTCATATAGTGTTATTTTTGAGGCCCTTAAACCATTCTAGCCTCCCTCTAGCTAAAACAGTGCTCTTCTTAAAACCTAGAATGGAGAACAGCATTACAGACATAGTTTGATTCAGGGAAAAACACAGAAGCTATCAGTCCTGAACTCGTTCTATTTGAACATGTATGTTTCAAATAGAAAATGAAAAAACATTCCAATTCACTAATAAGACAAATGAAATCAGAAACAATAACATTTTACTTCACACTCATCATCTTGACAAAGATAATAAAAAGTAGATTTTGGAGAGGCTCTGGGAAGATAAGCACACTAATTCACTGTTGCTGGGCTCTGGGAAGATAAGCACATTAATGCACTCACTTGTGTTGAGTGCAGCCTGGTATATCAGCAAAAGTGTTATTTTTATGTATAAACTGCTCAAAGCTGACCAAAAAATTAACGGAAATATTAAATTCCATATTTATTTCTGACCCTTCTCCCCTGACTGCTCACAAAGTGATAATTTACAGTCACAGAGCAGGAAATGATCATCTTAAAAAGATCAAATCTCCAACTTCCAAGGACTGAGAACGTATTTTTTAATTCTTAAAAAATGAAATTTAATTAAGATATAGATATAGAAGTAATTAGCTGACTAGTTCCCAAATGAGTTCTATATAGACCTTATTTATATTTAAAACTGAACAGCTCTTGAACAGACCTATATATTCATGTAACCATTTCAGAATTTTTGAATGATTTAGTTTACCATACATTTTAACTGTAATAAAATTTTAGCTTAACAGGAATACAGTTATGTTCTTGAAACATTTGCTGACTAGAAATTCCTCTGATGATCAATTTCTGTCCCAAAATTGAAGGCCTATTTCTGAGACCACTGATCAACCATATAAAATGCCTAAACAAATTAAATTGTTTTAGAAAAATTTTGCTTTAATAAGACAAAATTGATAAAATATATTAAATTCAATTTCAATTAGAGAAAACCTAGTGTCCCTTTCTCTCATGTAAATTTTAAGCAATTTTTATACCATCTACATTATTATTTCCTAAAAAAATGTCTGAAAATAAGATAAAATTAAACTAACCACTTCTGTATCTGGCAATCTTTCTTTACAGTTACATTAACTGCTATATAATACTGTTTTTAATGAAGATCTTAAAATGACTTTCTTAGTGGTTTTTTAGCTCTGTTTTTAAGAATTATGCATTAGCACCACTTTGAGAGAAGTCTAATCTATTTCCTCTACTGGTTACTACAATAACGGAAAAATGAAGCAGATTGTTTTTTAGGATATACTCCTCTCCCCCCACCCATAACACAAAATACTATTGTTGAAATGGAGCAGAAGAGGCACTAAAGTGGTTGGGTATAGATACAACCAGACTCCTAACTTTATTCATTGACCTTAATATAAACCACATTAATTTGGATTCTATAAAAGAAAGAGTTGAGGACTGGATATGTTAAATCATTAAGTTTATGGATAAAGAGTTTAATAGCATTTAGTGCAAAATAGATAAGCTATAACAATTTAACATTTCACACATCGCAAAAACATAAGAAATGAAAATACATATGACAATCTTCACTAGAACAAAAGGCTGACCAATATTATTAATAAAAACTATGTTCTTAGTTTTACCTTAAGAGTCATTTCCAGAGAATGAGGTTGTTACATTTTAATCATTTTGAGGATACTGGATATAAATCCATCCAGACAAAACATTACTGCTTAAAAATGAATAACCATGAAACATTTTGTCTATAATAAATATAATTTATATTTAGGTTAACAGGCACCAACTTGAGAGCAGAAAAACAAAAAACTTTTGTTCAACCAAGAAATAAATCATACTCAAGAGAACATGGTGGTATTTCTGAATTGTACGACATATCCTTAATAATTATCTTCAAGTATCACCCAACTTCTCAACTAGCTGTCTAGAAGCATCACCAGGATACAAACTAGACCCTAGACTTTCAACCATAAAAATAAAAGGCCAAAAACAAACCTTACTTTAAGAGAAAAATTACATTATATATTCTCTTAATACTCAGTTCAATAAAATAACAATTACCAATTTATTAAAGGTTAGATGAACTGTACATATGTAAACTGTTAGAGCTGAAAAATCTGAAATATATTTTAAAAAGCAAAATCACTCTTCTCTGAAAGTATTTAAAATATTTCATTTCTGGTGGCAAATCTAAATGCTATCAAGCATTTTATTTCCCTGCTCTTCCCTCACTTCTCTCCCCCTTTGCGTTCATCCAGCATATATTTTCGAAAGACCAAATGTAGTCACATATTCCAGACATGAAACACTGACACTGTTTCTTGGTAAACAAGAGAGACACAGGAAAGTCCAAGTCTACAACTCTGCTCCAAAAGTGTTGCACAGGCTAAATGATGTGAAGGATAAAAGGGTAGGGGGGAGGGGAGGAAAGAATCAATGGCCTTTGTAGATGCAGGCAGAGTACTCCTGAGAGTCCTTAAGAATTTGTTGATGTAGTCCTGAAGAAAGTTCCAGCAATTCTGCAGACAAGTATTAGAGAATAAGTCTTTGATTGATAATTTTTCTATTTATTTCTGCCAAGGCGACTGAAAATACGAAAGCCTTTTCATCAGAAAGGTTAGCATAGATGTCAACTTCCTTTTCCTGTCTCTCTGTTAAAAGAAAAAAGTTAAAACATCATGTTTAGTCCTAAATTCAATAATTAAAAATCAGACAGCCCCTTAAAGCACTAATTAAGTAGATATAAAATCTTGTGTGTTATTAATGCTATGTTCTAGAACTAAACCTTGAATTAAAGAATCATTATATAACAATGAATATTTAAAATGTTTAGTTATTTTCTGGAACCAGTTTTGAAGATATGTGATAACTTAAAATTTAGGCTCCTTAACCTAAAAGACAATGAACACTTACTCACTAAAATTACAACACATTCTCTACCAAAATTAAAATATTTCTCTCTCCAAATTATAAACTCCAAGGTCTTAAATTAAGATGGATTTCATCTCCCCAAAATGATGGATGGCCCCCACTGACAAGCAAGAACAGCTTCAAAAGTACATTAAGTGTTTGCTTTGCTGTCAGGCTACAACTGTTGAAAATTAAATTTAAATTACAAAATACGGTATGCCAGTCTAGATGATGTCAGTAAGATAATATACATAACAACACTTTGCAAACTTTAAAGAGCTTACATAAATGTTAGCTTTCTTATTCAAGTCCCAAAGCACCCCACCACCACTACCCTCATCTCTAAATCCTGTGCTTCAAAAGAACTACAAAATTTTTTTGAATGGGTTACAGTATATACTGCTTTCGCTTAAGTACTTAATTATGAAACAGAACTATAATAATAATATAACAACAAGAATAGCTAGCATTTACTTTAAAGTTTGAAAAGCACTTTACAGATATTGAATCAATTTATCCCCACAACAATCCCCTGAGGTAGATGCTATTATTATCCCCATTTTACAGATGAAGAAACTGAAGCAGACTTGTCCAGGGTCGCATAGCTAATAAGTACTTGTGACTAAATTTGATCTGTTTTCTTGACTCGAGGTCCAATATTCTATCTACTATACTAACTAGATGCCAGGAGGAAGGTACATTTTTTCAAATGCAGTAATAAACTTTGTAATGTAATTATACTGAATAATTATGAATCTGCCAGAATTTCAGACCTACATAACTAAAAGTATTAAAACCACACAATAAATCAAAATGTAGAATTTATTCAAGTACTTTTTGTTGGGTAAAGGTTAGTAATTCTATTATGGGAACCCTGAGTTAATTAAACACTGTAATAATAAATTTAACCTAAGTCTGAAAAATATTCTTTAACCATCCTTTTTAAAACAGAGTCAACATGAAGGACATTTAGAAATATTTCTATTTCTCAAATAAACCTTTAGGCTTTATTCAACTCATACATGTTAAAATGAACTACCCTACAACTTTTTAAAAGGAAACTTTAATTATTTGTTTTCCAGTTAGGGCTTACTTCAAAATGTTTCAAATATTAAGTGTTTATACATACGAAGTTCAGGACTATAGGCTAAAACTGAAAGTAAATTAACTGACTAATCAGTAATATCATTAAAGAATTTGTGAAACACCAACTATCATATTCAGAAATAGCACACATTTTCACAAGTTGACCTTGCCAACATATACTAGATTTAGAAAGCAACAATTCTCATTAAAAGTCTCCAATTATATCCATATAAATAAAAAGAATTTTATTTACTTACTTGCCTGTTTTTAATCTAAACACACAAATATAAAAAGCATTTAATTCATTCCAAAAACAGGCAGTTTTTCTTTAAAAAGTGCTTCTATTCGGAAAACTGAAAATACTCCTAAAATCTTCCATTTCCAAATAAATATTTGCTCCTTCCTTTTTTTTTTTTAAAGTTAGCACATCAAGAAAAAGTTAGAGATTGGATACATCAAAGATCCTAATACTATACAGATATTCACACTACACTGACCTAAAATTTTCTTGATTCCCTCCTTCCCCTCCTTAGACCTATTCTCAGACATGCTCTCCTAGACTGTCTGTTCTTTGGGCCACAATCCCTTTTTACAATCAAAGGGGCCATTTTGTTTTCTGTATCAAACAGTATTTCCCCCTTCTCTGTTGATTTTTCTACCCTATTTCACATTTCCTAACCTTAACAGCCTTTTCCCCTAGTCATTCCATCAGACAAGAAGCACATTCAGTTTCTGTGTTTTACTCAACTAAGAGAATCTAGTAGAAGCAAAAGAAACCAATAAAATTATCCAAGAAATATGCAAGTACCTAAGCAAAGGCTCCCCCAAATATGGCCAAATATGATTAAGTCAACCAAAATTTTTCTAAATGCTCCATTGTTAAAACTAGTATTACTTAATCAATACTTGAAAGATATATATCACCAAATAAATATTCATGAACACAGGGACTTTACTGTACACACTAAATACCTAAAGCAATAGAGCGTACTACTCCTTATTACAAAAGTTAAGAAATTTAAATCTATGCTAAAGGTAGAGCTTCATGTTGCCAAATGATTTTTTTTTTTTGCCAAAACATTTTAAAAATTAATTTTAAAGAACCAAACATCCATGTTATTTCATTGTTGGTTTACAGCACCTATAATTACACTTTTATATTATGGTATGCATAATTACACTTTCATATTCTAGTTATTTGTGTACATTTTATTTCTCCTAATAAACTCTTCCATGAAAAGAGGGACCATATCTTAATTTTTGTATCTACCAAGGCATCTAACACAATGTCTTACAAAAAACAGGGATTCAATGAAAGTATTTATTAAATAAATAAGTGAAATTTTAAAACATAAAGCAGGCTGTTTCTTTATAAGTAAAAACTAGATTCTGATTAAGCAAAAAACATTTCACTTTTTTCAAAAAGTGCCTCTAATTTAGTTATCATGAAAATCTAAACACTTAGAAGTTCAAAACCTCATTCTGAAAAACACACTCAATAGCAATTCTTTTTTTTTTTTTTAATCCCATAGGACACAGTTCTTCTAAACAACCTACAGAACTCAGGTTAGAACTTTAAAAAAAAAAAAGTTCACCCCCTCCCCCACTCCTTGGCAAGGGGTGGGGAACTATGGGTCTGCAACTCAACAAAGTCAAACTTAGTTGAAGTGTGCTTTGTTTCGATGAACTGGGATTTTTGTTGTTGTTGTTGTTGTTGTTGTAAGGGATGGCTCTCTGGGAGGGGAGTATATGGAGAAATAAGAGACATGTGAAAACAAAAACATATCAATGAAAATTAAGAAAAAAACAAAGGTCTCCCTACTTAAGTTTATTTTGTTAGGCTATATGAAAAAATACTCCAAACATTTCAAACAGGATGTTTAGCACTTTTCATACATCAACTGTTCCTTGTACTTGAAAGCCAACAAAATCAAGTATGTCAGGTGAACAACTTTCTATGTCTTCACTTTTAGTAAGAAAAAAAAAATTTCTTTTGATTTTATAAGCTATATGATGATTATGGAACATAGAATCTACAAGACTTAAGCCTACATTTGTAGTCTAATTTATTATGAAAAATTAAGCATCTATGACAGACTATCTTCTTAAATTCTGGTGATCTATACTAGAGCCATACTGTTTCATGAGTGTTAATTTAATATTTAAAAAAACAAACCCTACTCCAATAATAATAGATTTGGACATACCTCTTTCTTCCTCATGTTTTTTGGCAGATGCACTTTTAGGTCTTCCTCTTCCTCGTCGGATATGATCTGATTGGCTACTACTTCGAGACCTCTTTCTGTTTTCTAAATCTTTATTTACTGTAGAATTAATCTTCTCTCTCCTAACTCTCTCGGTTCGTCTCCTCTTGGCATCATGCTTATTTTCTGTATGGATAAATAAAAGTCATAAATTTGAAGGCTATCATAAATTTTTGCCTTGGATCTCATTCCTCTTTCCTAATACTCAAATTTCTACATGGCAATGGATATTGCCCAGAGTGTTTCAAAAGATTCTAAGTACAAAGTATAGGTATGGTCTGCCTGTTAAGAAAAAACTCACTTTAGTCCTGATCCTGACCATGTTTAAGGTAAGAGGAATCTTTCAAGGAGAAAAATTCTTTCTTTTCCAGTTTAATTCCAATCTCCCTATGAGAAGGCAAAAACTTCCTATGTTCCTCTCCTCACCTCTTCCCAAACACAAAATAGCAGAGGTGGACAGGAGGCAAGAAGAACAATCATTCCCCACTTCCCAGTTTTCTCCCCAACTTCAGATCTCCGTCAAAATATGAACCAGAAACAAGGTTAACCTGAACTATAATGAATAGTGAATGATCATGTTTCTCAATACTAGTTATTTGCTATAAGTAATTTCATTTTAGTCCTTGACCAAGCATTTCCACAAAAACAAGCAGCTATTTTTCCCTGCCAGTCTTCACTGAAATGACAGGTGATATTTTACCACTAACACTAATATTAATATTGAAAAGGAAAAAGCACTACAAATTTACACTTTCATTTAAAATGCGTCCAGGTACAGGGTACATTTTTCCACGTAAATATATGACGGGCAGCTTTTATCCTAATTTCAAATGAGAAAATAAATAAAAATTACTTTGAGGTAGTTGGTATAAACTGAGTTAAACCACATTGTTTTAGCACTCTGTGGATCACTGAGTCTCTAAGATTCTCATTACAAGTGTATGAAGTTCAAGTCTTAGAACCAAAAAGCATGTATCATTCTTTGTTCCAGGAAATGGAAATGATCTATTCATTCTAATAATCCTATTTTCCAACAGATTATTTAAATTGATCACTGCAAAATACATTTTTAGAGAAGAAATACCATAAAAGAGAAAAGATAATTTTTCAGGATTTTCTATTACAGAAAAAGAGAGCTAAATAAATAGGAAATGCCTAAAGAAAAATGCATTTAGCTCTCACTGGAATGTGCCAAAGAACAATTTATTCTCATATCAATACATAAAGAGAGAAAAAATTTGGTTCCATTTATCATACAACAACCAAAAAGTTTAGAAACTCTTGGCAGCTTCAATTATTTCTTTTCATCTCTTCCTCTCCCCAAAGAGGATGGGGAGAGAGGGAAGGCAGTAGGTAAAATCACACATAAAATGAATTAACACATGAGAGAACAACCCTACCCTGTGAGACTGGATTTCGTTAATGTTTACATTTTCATCTAGACCAAATTCCATACCTCTAAGTTTTCTTCCCTCTCCCCACTTCCTCCCAACTTATAGTCAATGTATTTTAAATACCTGAGCCTCCCATAACTCAAAATCAGTTAAATTTAACTGAAGATGTGAGTTTCATTTTTCAACTCTAACAGAAAGTATACTTATAATTAAATAACCAAGTTTAAATTTTGACTTACTGAAAAATAATTTCCATGGCCTATTTTCAAAAAATGATATTTTATAGTTCATCTAATCAATGATTCCAGGGCCCCTTTGGAAATTTAAGTGATTTATTTTTAAAATTTACCCTCAAATTCTGATTATCATTCACAGATGGATTTATTCACACGATTGACATTCAATACTGTTCATATATTCTTTCTTGATACTTTTATCAGTCAATCAACAAATATTTATTAAGCACCTAATACTTACCAGGCACTGTGCTCAATACATAGAAAGACTATTCTCAATGAGCTTACTTATTATAAAAGGGGAGATAAGTACATATAAAAATACACAAAGCATAAACATAAAGTTAACGGAGTAAAGGCATACAGAGACTGGAGAGAAAGAAGGCAAATCTGGCTGGATCACTGAGTGAATGAAGGAGACAGTGGAGGCCAGGTTATCTAAGGCTTCAAAAGCTAAATAAAGGAAGCAATACAAAGCCACTAAAGCTGGTTGAGTAGGCAAGTGACATGGCTGGACATGTGCTCAAGGAAAATTATTTTTGCAACAGTACACAGAATGGTCTAGAGTGGTGAAAGGCTTGAGGCTGGGAAACTAATTAGGAGGCTGTTGCAATAATTTAGATTAGTGGTGAAAAATACCTGAAGTAAGGTGGCAGCTGTATAAGAAGAGAGAAAGGGCTGGATATGAGAGATATTGTGACTGTAGAAAGATCAAGCTTCCTAATACACTATATTTTTCTGGTTCTACTTATGTTACCAACTCTTCTCTATCTCCTTTTTTCATTATTCTTTACGTTGTCTACATTCACTCCTCCCAGGGAACTCAAATGCTGCCACAGTAATTTATAAGATCACTACATGATTCCCAAATTAAAAAATTGCTTCCTAATCTCTGTCTCATATTTCCAAATACCCACAGCACATCTCCACATAGATGTCTTACTGGCATTTTAAACTCAACATCTCTTTGCCCTTAACAAAACCAGCTCTTTTATAAGCTATGCCATTTCTGTCAGCAGTACCACAATTTGTCCAGCACTGGCCCCCCCCAATTTAGAAACCATGTAAGTCATCTGTGACTCTTTACTGTCCCTTATCCCCTATATCTATTCTGTTATAATGGTCCTGTCAGTTCCTTCTTCGAAATCTTGGATTTACCTTTCTCTATTACTTAGTCTAAGCCTTCATCACCTTATATTTGGATTATTTCAAGCACTGCCCCCCCCTTGCTGGCTCTTCTAATCTAAACTATTCCAATGATAAGATAATCTTCTTATGTAAAGTACCACTTACTTCATGCCACACTCCTACTCAGAAACCTATCTACTACATATTAAGTATAAACTCTTCTGTCTAGCCTTTAAAGTCCTCTAACATTTAGTTCCCTCCTACCTAATCAGTTTTATTTCTACCCCTTTACAACACTCACCTTTCATTCTAAATAGGTCAATTCTTATCAACTCTGGTTCAAAAGCCACTTGTGGCCCCTCCCTGTCCATTATATCAAGTCTGAACTCCTCGGCTTAGCTTTTAAGGTTTTCCATAATCTAGTTCCATCATCCTACCTTGCCAACTTTATTTTCCATGGCTCTACAACACTTACCTTTGACTCCAATATCTATGCCTTAAACAGTTTTTACTTATTACCTCCTTAGTACCTTTGTTAACACTGTTATTCTTGTCAGCAATTCTCTTCATCTTCTCTCCTATTTACATCAGCATCCATCCTACAAGGTCTAGCTCAATTTCTACCTCCTCAATAAAGCCTCCTCTATTTCAGCTTTCACTGATTTCTTCTCTTAAAACTTATGATGCAATGCAAAGCAATGAAGTCAGTTCTACTAAATAGGATGATGATTTTCCATCAGTCCAAGATGGCAGTCTATTTATCATCACAATGAAAGGAGGTAAAGGATCCCACCACAGTGAAAGAATATGGTATTGAATAATTTTACTGTCAGTTGTGATTAATGGGAAAAATCATTTTCTAAAACATAAAATTTAGAATAAAAGTAATTCAAGATAGATTAACCTTTCCAAGTAAAATATTTTGGGGATAATTTGCCCTTTGGAGTTGTACAACACCACCATGCTTCAAAGGTGCTTCAGATATACCTCATTTTAGGTGAGCCTAATATTTAAGATCATTTTACAACATATCACAGAACTTCTTCAAATATCACCCTTTTCCATGTTCACATTAAATATCTTTTAAAGAAACTACTGAACACAACTATATGTAGAGATCTAGGATGTTTACATTCATAAAAAGCCCTATTCCCTCCACCCTTCCCTGCTATACTCTCTCAAAAAGAAAGGTGTTCTGATATGTTCATCCCTTGCATATATAGTTTGGAGTTCACTAATTAGTACTTTGAAATTTCTTATCAGATATCAAAAACTAGAAATTTTTCTTCCACATTCATTAATTTTCAGACTAGAATTTACGGGAAAAAAACATTTCTGGGAGACATTTTACCAGCACTGCAGGAGTTAACATTTAAAAAAACCAAACAAACCAGTATCAATGCCACATACAGATCTCATAGAGAGTAATTTATGTCAAAGAAACACTTTAATTGATTTCTAAATTTACAGTAATTTTACCAGAGGCTTAATTTAAGTAAATTCACAAAAATTCATTTATAATTTCACCAATCTGAAAATAAATAGCAAAGAGCCTGAGTTACCTGCAGAAGATGGTGATTTCTCTGAGTGTTTTGCATTTAAGAGCTTTCTACTAATAAATATATAACCACAGGGGCATGATTTACATGCAACAGGAACCTGAAAAAAATGGAAACACATTTTTAAATTTTGAAACAAGACTTTCCTCACATCTAAAAATCACTAAAGGAGAAACACTCAGGGAATTTTCTTTTTCTATTATCTTTCCACTAATATGTTTCCACTAAGCTAGCCCTGACAACATGGACTTTTCACCAAAAACTACTACCATATAAAAGAAATTAATCTAAACAAACTAAAGTACTACCAGCAAAATGATTATAGCTAGAAAACTGCAATTCACATTGTAAAGAAACCCATTCTCCTGCTGTTCTGCCTTTGATAGGCTTAGTTATATTACTGCTTTTTCTTCATGTATTTACAGAATGGTTTATAATCTTATGTAAATACTTGGTCTAATTAAGCTAATTACAGTTCTGGCAGATTTTTTTTTTTAAACTTTGCTTAAGACTATCAAACAAGGTTATTTTTGGTTTCTATTTAAGAAAAATTATTTCAACAATTGACTCTAAAATAATTTAATTCCAGCTTTCTCAAAAGTTCAATAGTCAGTTATTGAACATGAAATATGGCTCCTCAATAATGAAGTTGGATTAAATGATTTCAGTACTTCAATAATGAACTCAGGTATTTATTAAACTTAAAAAAAAAATAATGACCTCCAAGAAGGTTAAAAAAAAAAAGGAGGGGGTGTTCTGCTAAGAGTTGATCTTTTCCCAGTTAGCAAGTCTTTTATTGCACTAATCCATCTCAATACATTCTAACTCAGGCTCTTTCTTGTACATAAGGAAACTAACTAGACAAACCCATATTCAGTAACACCACCAACTACTACAGATGAGAAAGCCCAAATTTGTCTTTGAGATTCAGAATGTACATATATGTTAATCTGGTTTTCCTTCAAATTTTTATTGTTAAACTAACCACCTATATGCTTATCAATAAAATTATATATTTCTTGGTCAAATAACATTGTATTTCAGAGCTGCTACATTCTAAAGCTTTTCTTAACCAAGTTTTTGAGAAGATACTGTTTTTTCCTTAAGCAACAGAATGATCTCCTACAGGCCTCTGATAAAATAACCTATCATAGATTGCCAGGCAAGACAGATAATATTCATCTGCTATTATACAGTTAATTATAAAAGGAGATGGGGTAACTTCCTACAACAAAAATTCTTAAAATTTAAATACTGATGCTAATAATAAATTAATGAAGTACACTAGCACATTATCAGGCTTTTTTAAAAAAACCCAAAACATTACTATTATTTTTGGTATGAATATGGCTTTACCAATTCCTTACAGTCTACTTATTTTGTTTCAGTTTCCAAAGTACAGCTGGTAAATAAATTTTACAAGGAAAAAATGTTGGTTTTATTTTGCTTCCTTGATTAAAAAGTCAAGGCTATAAAATAACCACATTACCGAGTGATTCATTTAAATTCTGCCCTGCTAAGAGTCCTAACTTCTTTTCCATGGAAGAGATTTAATGTTTGCTATATGTCAAATGGAACATCACTTAAATGGAAAAAAGCTGCTCTATAAAAAAGTCTAAAGGAAAAACAGAAATATACCCACAAGTACAGATACCGGAGAGCTGACAAGAATCTTGAATACACAAAATTGGCTCAGCAGACTATGTGGTTAATGGACGGGAAACACTTTCAGGATGAAAAGCATTATGGGTTTAAATGTTACAAGTTTAAATTTGTCTGTTTTGCATTTTCAGAAAAAAACGTTAGCAAAGATGATATTACAAAGAAAATGAAAACTTGTGGTTCTGTTTGCTCAGCCTTTGTACTTTAGATATTTTTGTTGTGTAGTTAATAGTATGCATTCCTGAATTTACAAAAACCACATACGTGTATATATTTAAATGAGACAGTTTCAGATTAAGGATTTTTAGTTAAACGTAATAGAATCAGAAACGACATGTACTGGTCTGTGATACAACTCAGGATAATCAAAAAACCACTCCATACTATTTTAACCTATTTAAAACAGAAAAAACTTTTTTTTATAGTTTATCTGCTCTAGAAAGCATAGTAAGATAAGAATATTTCAAATCAGAATTATTCACTCATTTAACAACATTTATTAAGCACTATGAGAAACACAATTTAGGTAAGGCACAGTCCCTGTCCTCATAGAGCTTACATTCAAATAAAGGAATAATATACCAGCACAGCAAAGGATTACATGAAGATACTAGAAAGTTTAGATATTTTCTCCCCAGCATCTTCTCTCCATAAGATAGTATTTACTATATACTCCAATACAAATTTATTTTAATGAATTATTTTCCTTAGTTCTTAGCTCCTAAATATGTCATGTAAATTAACAGATACACTAGCTTTTAAAAAACAATGGCAAGTCTCATCTGGACCTCCCTTCTTACATGAAAGGCCACAACAAATTCAGTTAATATACCACTTTGAAAAAGCAACAGTTATTTCTGTGATTTGTCATAAGAATTCCTAACAACACTATTTTGATTACTTATAAGGACTCAGGCCAAGTCGTCCTTAGAAATTCTCTATTGCTTTCTCCAGTCAGGATACTAAAAACAGGTATGCTACTTTTCCCTAAAACATTGCTTTATGCCAAATAAAACATGTCAGAATTTGCAAAGACTTGTGCCCTACATAAGCAGGAACACATAATGCATACCACACGAATCTTAAACCTCTACACAATTAACCAGAACAAATGGAAACGATTTAATATGGAAATAACTTTTTTGCAAAGGCAATAAAGCATGCCAAAATATGAGTCAGAATTTTATTAATATTCCCCCTCCCCTGTTTTGTCCATTAAAAAAATAGTAGGAACGGAAATTCTTTGCTCTGGAAACCATGAATGTAAAACTACTAAATCATTTGTATGTTGCTAGATGATCTCCATTCTGGTATGGCTGACAAATAACAGAACTACACAAACTGCTCAACCTTTCTCTGATACTCATTTCCACCAAATGCCCATATTAGATCTTGAAAGAAAACATTACAGAATCACTGTCAGCCCACAAGATTTCTCCTTAAAAGTATGTACTGTACTTAGCTTTTAAAAGTCTCTAAGATCATTTCAGAAAATAGCTGCAAGAAAATTACTGGAGGCAAGAGTAAAGAAAAAAAGAGGACAAAAGGGGTCATTTTGAAAATATTCCATAGTGGTACTAGAGAAAGATACTCAAACCTGCATTTTATCATTCAATAAAAGAATCATATAAAAGTGATTAATTTATGTTTTTAACACCTTAAATGAGAATTTTTTTACATCTAAGAAACCTTAAAACTCGAGTGGGTAAGCATAAGTGGCATGATATAAAGGAATTCCCATTCAAAAATTAGGGATGTAAAGTCATTCATTCACTTTAGAGAATACAGACTTCAAAATTCACTGAAGCTCAGAGTTAAAGCCCATTAACTGTGGCTTATGATGTCAGATTAAAGTGACCACCCAGGTCACACAAGGGCAAGATATTTGAGCCAACCCCTTACATATTTTAAAACTGAACACAGCAACCCAATGTGGCAAGAGTGCACAATCGGTGCTGGGGGCCTAGATTAAAGTAACAGATATTTGGCATTTATTCTAGTACACAGGACAGTGGGCATTAAATGTTCATTTAGAAACCACCTGCATGTAAAGAGACCAACCTGCCGGCTTACAGCCATTTTTTTTTTTTTAGCAAAGTAGACAAAGTGCCCTTCAGACCCCAAACAGTCAAAAAGGCAAGGTACTCAGGGCTAGCAGTTATACAATGAAAGGGCTATCCAAGCCTAAACACCATGTGGTAACTATTTACAGGGTGACTTCTCCCCAGAATGGGATGAATAGTATTTGCTCTATTTTACATGTCTCCATCTGAAACAGCTTAGAAAGAACACTGGATTTGGAGTCAGAAAACATAGGTTTGAATTCCAGCTGTAAAACCTGTGTTATCTTGGGCAAGTCCTTTAATCCCTCCAGAAAGGACTACTGAAAGACATAGTTGGACTAGATTATATTTAAATTATCTAATGAATAAATGCTTATTGAATCAATTTCTACTGGTCTTTTTTCAGCTCTGAATCCTTTATATTCCACTTAATCTATTTTATCTGTATTCCATTTATGTATGTGCACGTCTCATTCCCCCCAATCTAAGCCACCTCTAAGACAGTAAGCTCTATGCAGGCAAGAATCTTACTCAGCATCTCATCCAGTACCTAGCACAGTGCTCAGCAGGAGCTTAACACATTATGTGCTTAATTTAATTAATTTTTCTTTCTCTTTCAGCACCAGGCATTGTGAGTTGGACTTAGGAGGTGCTTAATAAATGCATGTCGTAGGTACGTCGTTTGCTAACCCCCTTCCCCCCAAAAAAAACCAGGAGGGGGAGGGGAAAAGGTGGACAAACCTATGTGCCGGGTGGGAGGAAAGCCAGTCCAAAGATCACACGAGTCTTGCCTACTCAGAGTAGACCTCCCCATACGGGGATGGGGACAGTCCCCAGGATAGAGGGGAAGATCCCTAACCTAGGGGGCTCGCAGGACAACCCTTCCCCCCCCCCCAAGATCCCAGTTGGGGACGGAAGCCACTTCTGCGACCTGGCTTCCTCCTCCGTCCCAGCAGCCCCCTCCTCCGCGGGGTCTCGCCCAAGCTACCCTAGGGAAATTGGGGAGCCCCAGGGCACCCCGATGGGAACGCGAGCCAAGCCCAGAGACCACCTCTCCATCCTGTCCCAGCCCCCAAAGCCAAGGGACCAGGGCTGCTGCCACCGGGATCGGTCACCCGGCCCCTTCCCCAGCCCCAACGGCCGCTAGCCAACCGTCGCCCGCGCCCCGCCTCCGGCCGCCCGCGCCCCGCCTCGCGCCCCCCCTCCCACCCCACCCCCGGTCCCTGCACGCGCTCCGCCGCTCGCGAGCCCCCTCCCGCCCGGCCCGCCCGGCCTGGCCGCAGCTCCCGGCCCCGCCCGGGGAGCCGACGAGGGGCGCTCACCTGTTGATCACATTCCGGGCAGGATTTGGTGGCCATCTTCACTTTCTTGGCTCTAGTTGCAGACATGCTCCTTCCCCTTGGCCGAGGAGGCGGCAGCTCCTCCCCTCCCTCCTCAGCAGCCCGGCCCGGCCTCGGCCTCAGCCCCGCCCCGCGCGTCCTGACTGACTGACTGACTGACTCAGACTGACCGAACGAGCTAGGGGCACGAGCCGCCCTCTGGGGGTTCGTAGAGGAGGGGGCGGAGCTCCGTAGGGGGAGGGGCGCGGGGAGGGGGGGAGCGTTCACACCACGGGAAGAAGGGCCAGACCCATCCCCAGTCTCCTCGCCCCTCCCAGCACCCCTCTCCTCTCTCCTCTCTCCTCAAGCTCCTCCGTTCCACCACAAGACACGCAGCCAAGCCCGCCTGCGCGCACTCGCAAATCCTCGTGTGTGACTCTCTGTGTCTAGATTGGGGTGGGGGGCGGGGTGTAGAGGGAGCGCCGCGCCTGCGTACGGCGGCAATGGGCGGGACTCGGGACCCAAGGCCGCGAGGCGCCGGCGTGACAAACACCACACCCCTCCCCTTGCCTGACTGACAGCACCCCTGTTGGGGAGGGCTTAGTGGTAACAAGGGCTGGGTTAACCAATCAGAAGAGAGAGGTAGTTGACAGTTTAGCTAGGACCCCGCCCCTATATCAGAAGAAGAAAGGAGCGGGAAGGCTGAGCTTAGAGATGAAAGCCACCTGTGAGCCAAGCGCAGAATTTAGGGTTCAAACCTCAACGTCCACTAATATGCTGTGACCTTCCACAAATTGCTATGTGCTTCAGTTTCCATATCTGGAAAATGGGATGTAGATCAGCTTTTTTGGTGCTAGTGGGATATTCCATTAGAGATAGTGGACAATGTTTGTGTTACTTAGCTTGTGTACCGCTCCCCAAAAAAGACAAATATTCAAACAACTAACAGAATGATTTTCTCAAAGCACAGGTCTAACCAGGTTACCTCACACTACCCCACAAACTGCAGTGGATCCTTAAATACTTTCTCTAACATTTAATGCCTTCACATTTGACACTATTTACTAAACACAGTTACCACCTTAGTTCAGGACTTCGTTACCTCTCACCTGCACAATTACACCAGTCCCCACTCCATTTCATCATCCAAATAGATGACAAAATTATTTTCAGGGACTCCATTGCCTAGGCAAAATGACCTTCTTGCCGTACCTCACACAAGATACTCCTTGCTTCCTTCCCCTGCCTTTGCAAATGCTATCTGCATGCCTTGAATATATTACCTCCTAGTTCCTTGGTTTCTCTCAATGCTTAGCTTATACATTACCTTCATTTTTTAAAAAAATTATTAAGTTTTAAATTTATGGAATAAAACAAGCATTTCCATAATATAGTACAATAAAAAAGATGATTGCACCTTCTGGGGCTGTATCCCAAAGAGATCATACAAATGGGAAAAGGACCCACATGTACAAAAGTATTTATAGTAGCTCTTTTTGTGGTGGCAAAGAATTGGAAATTGAGAGGATGCCCATCAACTGGGGAACGGCTGAACAAGTTGTGGTATATGAATGTAATGGATTACTATTGTGCTATAAGAAATGATGAACAGGCTGGCTTCAGAAAAACCTGGAAAGACTTGTATGGTCTGATGCTAAGTGAACCGAGCAGAACCAGGAGAACGTTGTCTACAGTAACAGCCACGTTGTGCGATGACTAATATTGATAGACTTAACCCTTCTCAGCAATACAAGCGTCTAAGACATCTCCAAAGGCCTCATGATGGAAAATGCTATCCACATCCAAAGAAAGGACTATGGAGTTTGAATGCAGATTGAAGCATACTATTTGCTATTTTTTTTTCTTTTTCTGTTGTGTTTTGTTTCCTCTTTCTGGTGGTTCCTCCTCTTGGTTCTAATACTTACTTACAACATCACTAATGTGAAAATATGTTTAATAGGAATGTATATGTATAGCCTATGTGAGATTGCATGCTGTCTCAGGGAGGGAGGTGGGGAGGGAGGGGAAGAAAAATTTAAAACTCAAAAGGTTATGGAAGTGATTGTTGATAAATCAAAATAAATTAATTAAAAGTAAAAAAAGATGATTGCACATGAAACTGCAAATCTATTATGTACTACTTGCTATTCCTTTTAAGTATATAATAAAGTTATCTTGTAAATTTCTTTTTTTTCTTTTTTTTTCTTCCCCCCCATGAGGCCTTTACTGATCTTCCTAGGTGCTGGTGACTCCACCACATAATCTTGTATTTTTGAACTTATTCTGTATTTTATTATCTATCTGCATTGTTTTACAGTATATGTGAATTTGTTCTGTATTTTATGTGCTTATATATGTACATGCTGTAGAATGTAAGCTTCTTGAAGGCATCAGATGTTACTTTTTTGTCTTTATATCCCCATGGCCTAGCACATAGGAGGTATCAACTGTGAAAATTCAGAGGAGTTCAAGCTTAGTTAAAAGCAGAAAAATTTTATTAAGAGGAAAATCAGACACTAGTGCCAAGGCACCCCAATACAAAGTACAAGGGAGCCCGAAGCCTAGGAGAGGCAGGGGCATTGTATGCTTGAAAACCAACCACAAAGAGGAGGTTTGGGGATGGGTTAGGGTAAAGAATGGACGGTCTTTCCCAGGAACAGGTGGGACACAGAATCAGGATGTCTTGCGGGAACAGCTGGCCAAAAGGCTGGTTTAGGCCAGTTTGGGGTGCAAAGCTCAGCAAGGTCAGTCATTGAACATCAGCAAAGGTGTGTCATTGCAGGCTCCTGATTGGCTTCTTTCCACAAACAGGCTTTCTCTGTGTCTAGTGCACCTCCTGGTAGGGTAACTCATAGAAAACAGACCTAGTAATCTCAGGGGTACTCTCTCAGACGTATATTATAAATACTTACTGATTGATTTGAAGATTACAAAGAAATATAAGAAGACATAAGAATCACAACCTTCCATAAGTCATTTCAATTCTCAGGGCCTCAGTTTCTTCATCTATAAAAAAGAGGGCTTAGACTCCATGATCTCTAAGGTCCCTTCTAGATTTAAATCTTATATGATACTATCATCCAAAGCAAAGAAAGAATTATCAGAATATTCCTATTTACTACCACAGTTACCACCTTAGTTCAGGACCTCATTACCTCTCACCTGGACTATCACAACCTTAACGGTTGGCCTGGGTCAAATTTTTCCCCACTCCATTTCTTCATTCAAATACGTTACAAAATTATTTTCCTTAAGCAAAATCCTGATCATGGCACTTACCTGCTCAATAAAACTCCATTGGCTCCATATTGCCTCAAGGATAATATAAAAACTCTATTGTTTAGTTTTTTAAGTCCTTTTCTACCTGGCTACTACCTTTCCAGCCTTATTATATACACTCCACTTCCCACACTCTTTAGTTCAGGTTAACTGGCTTTCTTGTTGACCCTTCCACATAGCATTCCATCTCCAGTGCCTTCGCACTGACCATCTCCCATGTCTAGAATGCTCTCCCTCTTCATTTCTGCCTGATAGAATCTGTTACTTCCTTTCAAAACTCAGTTCAAGCATTCCTTTCCTATATGAAGTCATTCCTGATTCCCCCTCCCTACTCCCAATGGCTAGTACTCTACTTCCTTAAACTACCTTGTACATATTATATAGAATAAATATTCTATATGTACTTATATAACCAGGTATTTGGACAGACTTCCCTGAAGGCAGGGTACAAGTCTAAAACCCTAACTAGTAACCTGAGTTTTTAGTCCCAGAGAGAGAACATTTTGCTAGCCCTGGAAGAACTGGGTTTTGAGCTGGAGAACATCTGAATTTGACCACATCAGGAGTTTTGAACTGATCAGTCTGGGTAAGTATATGGAAGAATGGAGAAAGAAGAAAGACAGAATCAAGATGAAACATTCATAGTCAACACTGGACATGGTCAGATGGAGCTCGGGCAATTTTTTCTACTCCTTTTACCTTGGAAACCAAGAACGTTTGCTAGCACTCCTCTGCCAAAATAACCTTTGGGTATGTTTGTCCAATCTCTGAGAACCAAGAGTGAATGAATGAATGAATAAATAAATAAAAAAGTATGTGGAAAGCCATGTGCTAAGCACTGGGAATATAAATTGGAAAGACAGTCTGCTCTCTCAAGGAGCTCACATTCAAAGTGAGAACAACACATTTAGATTTCAGCTGCGAGTCAGATGGAAAGGTCCCATAGGAGTGGTGGCAAAGCAGATAGTAATAATATTTCTTTTTTAATATCATTTCCACAGATAAAATCATATGAGAGCCTGATATTGAACCATGGACAGTGCCAAGGACTTTGGTGGCAAAAACTTTCTTCTCTGGGTCTTCAGTAGCTATGGTTTCAGCACTCATAGAAGCAGTGTCAGTCCTCTTCTCCACAATGGTTGAATTCCATTCATGGTTGAATGATTTAGGGGAGGTGGGTTGGAAGCAAGATGGGTTTTCTGGAAGGTGCTGCCACTCCTGGAGTTCTTAATCTTATTCAAAGATTGGTGGCAGATGACCAGCATTGGTGTTAGAAAGGAAGGTGGGCCCCTTCACCACAGTAATTGTTGCCCTCAATGATGGCTGCAGCACTACTGCTAGAAATAGGGCAGGTGGTTGGGGGATAGATAGGGAGAGGCAGGCACTGCTGTTCCCAAAGCTCTTGAGTTCAGGGTCCCAGGCTATTTCCATTATGATCTAAGGGAAGGTGATGCTACCTCCTACCTCCCCTCAGGGTTTCCTGTTGACATTTTAGCCACTGGGATGTTAACATGATTACAGGTTACCTTCAATTTCACTTTTATAAATGCATTTAGCCTTTATACTAAGTGAATAAGTTCTTTGAGGGCTTCACTAAGGTAGGATGCAAGATTAGGAACCAAGTGGTTGCAATGCAAGCCAGAAGACTCAATTTAAAATACTCAAAATACTCAATATAAATGCAGAACCTGAAATACAATCAATCATGATGTACATCTATACACACTCAAGTGGAAGTGAGCTGTTGTTGCATTGAAATGTGACCTCAGATGCAAGGCCCCAGAAGCACAAGCTCTAGTAGGTCCTTCCAAGCCAGAAAAGCTTCAAGGACAAGCCCAGTAGTGGACATAGGTCTATCGACTGAGACTAGATGGAGTCCAGAGAGGTTCAGCACTCAGCGGACTGCAGGATGATTGATTTTTTCATCCAAAGCAATTATCAAAGAACACTTAGTACTCTGTAAACAGGTTATGATTGCCTTGAGGGGAGAAAGTATCCACACCAAGAAAATCATAGACCTTTGAAAGGAAGATCTAGTTGGAATAAATATTTATGAAATGAATGATGGGGGCAGGACTAGCAAAAGCCCAGGTCATCTGACTCCTGGGCCAATGCTCTTTTCATTGTTCTCTGAAGACAAGCTAGAGCCACATG